CTCCAGGGGGAAACTATTCTGTTGCCTCCCACAAAACAGGCCAGCTGCCTCTGAGCTACAGCAGTTCCCAGGCTCAAAGGTGAGTGAAGCTTTAAAAGTTATTTTTCAAGGCCTAATGAATGCAAATCAGAGGTTCTGTGGAGGTGGGTGTTAAATTCCACACCAAGAAGAGAGCCCCAGAGACTCAGCATCTCCAGCTGGTTCAGAGTGTAAAAACTTCCAGACTCATCTAAGTGGGAAAGTTCCAACTACTTTATCAGTGAGCCATCTTGTCCCCACGCCTCTTTCAGCCCAGTGATACAGTATGCTGTGGCACTCCACAGGGCCCTGGGACCCAAAAGGCAGCTGGAGCATGGGAAGAACCTCTCCTCTTAGTTGTAAAATTTCTCCTCCAAAGGTTCTGTGATGTGTCAGGATTTGAGCTTGTTGGGATGTTGGGATAATGGGTGAAGTCAAAGTCTCAGGGCTTTCTTCTCTCCTACCATTTGAGTTAACAGCATGTGGATGGGGCTCCTGACTCCCTGGCTTCTGTTAAATCTGGAGATCTATTCCTGCATGTTCCTACTGTGCTCTGAAATCACCTGCTGAGGGTGAGCCCCTGCTGGGCTGCTAGACAAGAAGGATGCACTCACTGCCGAAGGAGCATCATCCTCAAAGCCAGTGACTGTGTGCTGTCCCTGAAACACCCACCTCTTTCTCTATAAAGGAGCCACTTGCCTCTGACAGGTCCCCTGATGAATCTCTCAGCCATTCCTCCCAACACAGTTTTGTTTCATCACTTGGGACTTCGTACCCACATCAACTGCCAGGCTCATTCCTGGGACCCACAACTACAGTAGAGATCTAAATCTATCTGTGCTCCATCACTTGGAGACATCTTCAAGTCATCAGAATTACATCCTAAACATTCCAGTGTGAGCAGGACACACACACACACACACACACACACAAACCTTCCTCACCCCCATGCAACAGCAACACACCAGCTATTCCATAAACAATAGTGTAAACAAACTTCAGCGTTCTTTTTCTAATAGGACAGTTGGGAACCTTTGAAATAACTCATTAGAATTTGCTTCACAGTCGGGCGGGGGTGGCGCACGCCTCTAATCCCAGCACTCGGGAGGCAGAGGCAGGTGGATCTCTGTGAGTTCGAGGCCAGCCTGGTCTACACAGCAAGTTCCAGGAAAGGCGCAAAACTACAGAGAAACCTTGTCTCGAAAAACCAAAAAAAAAAAAAGAATTTGCTTCACAGCTTCTTCACCCCAAATTCTGTGGACTGCAAAGCCACACTTTTACTTCCTTAATGACACTGTTGTAGTTCCATGAATTGTCTCTTTCTTTCTCCTCTGGATTCTGTGGACAACTGTCCTCATCAAGCTCATTTCATCAGGTGGAAAAGAGGAGGAGACATTCCTATCTTTGCTCTGGAGGTGACTGATATCAGCAAGATCAATTGTGCAGCAACAGGAAGCCTGAGCCACAGACTGTGTGGGGCCAAGCTGAGGCTGAAGAAAGTCACAACATGATGATGGAGCCAATTGTGTAAACATGTACCAGCTTATGAGTGTCCCTGATGAGCCAAACCTCACCCTGCTCCTACCCATGGCATGTCCCCATCAATCAGTGCTCACACAGTCCATACCTGTGTGACTGGGCATGTCCCACAAGAGAGGTCCTCCTTAGTTCTGTCCCTATGGTCAATATTAAATATTTGACAGCTTTTATGAACTCTGAGTGTGGTTTTCAAAAAGTTCTTTCTGTGTCAAGTAAATGTCTCCTTGATACAAACCTTCTTTTGATATCCCTTCCTCCCTCTTTCTCCCCCTACAACCTCCCCTCCGTGTGTGTGTGTGTGTGTGTGTGTGTGTGTGTGTGTGTGTATGCATCCATACGCATGCATTGGTATGTATGTGCCACAGTGGGCATGTGAGATCAAAGGACAACCTCCATGTTGGTTCTTGCAGTCCTCTTTCCTTGAGGCCATTTCTTCTCCTCCCTGTGTGCACAGGCTAGCTGGCCCGTCAGTCTCTGAGGACTCTCCTGCCCCCACCTTCCATCTTGCTTTAGGAGCACAGGAACTGTAGGTTTGCTACTGTATCTCTGGATTCTGAGGATCCAGACTCAGGCCCCCACTTTCATACAGCAGGCACTATACCCACTGGGCCACCTCCCCAGCCTTGTATTTAATCCTTCCTCAGATCAGGAAAGTGTCTGGTTAATTTTATCAAATCAACACAACTAAAGTTGCCTGGGAAGATGAATTCTCACTGAGGAATCGCCGTTATCAGATTGGCCTTTGGGTATGTCTGTGAGGCATTTTCTTGATTAATGATTCCCATGGAAGGCCCTGCCCACTGTGGGTGGTACTGTTACTGGACTGGTGGTCCCGGGCTGTATAAAAAGCAGACTGAGCAAGCCAGGGGCATCCAGCCAGTAAGCAGCACTCCTCCATGGTCTCTGTTTCAGTTCCTGCCTCCAGGTTCCTGCTTGAGCTCCTGTCCTGGCGTCCTTCAATGATGAACTGCGATGTGGAAGTATAAGCCAAATAAATCCTTTCCTCCCCATGCTGCTTTTGGTCATGGTGTTTATTACAGCAATAGAAAGGCAGCAGGACAGAACAGAAAGGGCTTCATGTTTCTGACCATTTCTGTGGAGTTCAGTAATTCCCTGTGTTCCAAAGGATGCCCGATGTCATCTGTGCCTGTGGCTTTTATTTCCCCATGTGGTGTCAGTACCATCGGTGACTGTCCATTTCTATTAAGCAGTGTACAGTGTAATTGATGGCATCTGCTGGAGCTAATATTGTAAGTGAAGGCTGTTCTCTGCTAACCGCTCTCCCATGGCTGTGCATATAAATGACCACAGCAGCCACACAGAGGTACCAAGTAGGACGTTCAGCTGTACCCTTAAGCATCGTGAGGTTTGGGTAGAGGGTTCATTTCAGCAGACCTAATTTTTCAAGCACACAGAGCAGACCAGAGCTCCCCATGCAGAACAGTGGCAAAATGCTCCTCAAGAGTCTTTTCCTAAGTAGGTTTAAATGCCATGTTTCCCTTGGGACTCAAAATCCCTGTGTGACCATCAAAACAAGAGGAGTAATTATTTATCTATCCAGATGGCAAACAGTACTTGTCTTCATACGTTCTCTTCTCTCATGTGCATTAATAAAAGCAAATGTGTCTTCCCCTCATGGAACTTTCATTTGTCTGAACGCCCTGGGAGGGAGCAAATCTAGCTCCTTGGAGGACAAGAGTCTATGTATGCATCTTAGCCCAAAGCAGCAGCTCAGGGTACCTCACAGCAGGCTGGTATCACAATTGAGAGCCTTCAGACAAACTCGCCCATCACACACAAACAGGGGATGTATCACTCTGCATCATGAGTATCCTTCATAAATGAAGGGTTAGCCTTCTTAGAACACTTGGTTAAGGAAATGCTTAACATACATGACTAACACCTTCATATATGCTGCTGTCAACTGCTGGGGTGATTTGATGATTGTGAGAATTGTAAAGGAACAAGGCCCTGGCAGGCTAACACATGCGCATCCCAGGAAAAGCCTCCAAAGGAAAGCTTTCTGCACACACCCTTCCTCCTTCCTTGGTACACACCGACCCACAAACCCCTTGCCACAGTCCTCTACACAGCTACACACCCTACGCTGCACACACCTGTGCTGTGGCCATTGACACAGCCCACTGAAATCATGGCCACTCCTTCTCCTTGATCCTCACTCTGAGTGGCTCCGGTGGACACTAACCATGGTCCATTTGCTCTCTAATAGGTTTCTTTCTGGCTTGGTGTTTGTGCAAACAGTGAGAGCTCAGTAAATTTTCAAGGTGAGTAGATGAATGGATGGATGGATAAAGGCATGTGGGAATGAACAAAGAAGATGTTGTACTACTTTAAGGTTTGGGATAAACACATGTGAAAATTTGAACATCAGTTTTCCTGATGAGGAAGAGTCCAGAGGAAGAGATTGAACTGAAGCCAATAGTCAGAATTGCGAGCCATGGGAAACATGTATGATAGATGGTGTCTCCTCTGAGTTTCAGGCTTAACAGCACACGCATATCCACAACATAATTTAGTGTCATTACAGCAGCGATGTCTGTGCCAAGAGCTGCCACTCATGGGACATCAGGAACAGGACAGTAATTCAAATTAGGCTCTCACTGTGTGCTAGTAACTCACACAAGGACATAATGACTTACATCTGCCCCATGGTAACAGTTCCGTGTCTCCCAGGACCAGTGGGAAGGACTCGAGGGGACAACCACCTATCCATGAGTGGACACTGCAACAGCTTCTGCTTAGAAACCACGAAGGATGGTATTTGGCCAGATGGCTCAGGGGCTAATTCACTTCCCACCAGGCCTGATGAGCTGAGTGTGATACTGAATCCCACATAGGGGAAGGAGGGATCCAACTCCTGAAGACTGTCCCTGACCTTCACACATGTATATATGTGCATACACAGGAACACACACACACACACACACACACACACACACACACACACACACACACACACACACAAAATAAGAAAATTGTTTTTTAAAATAAAAGTCATAAAGGGATGCATTTAACAAATGATTTCAAGTATCCTTGAAAATCTCCCAAAATTATTCTTTTTTCCCTCATTGAATGGGAGGACATCTTTCAGCATATTATATTCTATGAATAAAACTTCAGGGTACAACCAGGCCCACAATTCACAAGCTTGATAATCATTTTACTTTTTTTTAAAACAAAACTAATCAATAATTTCACCAGCTGATTCGAGTTTTAAAAATTGTTTAAATCTGTCTAGAAATAACCTCAGATAAATACCCAATTTGATAAAATAATTTCTACCACCCCGCTCAGTTGAGGGCCCAAAGTCAATAAAATAAGAATGCTAGGTAGCTTGAGAGAGAGAGAATCAACTGCATGCAAGGAAGGTAGAATGGGCATTTCCCATGGTGTGCACGGCTAGAAATGACGTATCCTTTTACCTTGGTCGAAGGGCTTGTTGGGATTCCAGTTTCTGAAATAGTCATCCTAGGAAAGAAAAGTAGAAACAAAGGTCAGATGTCAGAGGCCTCTCCCTGCATAAAAGCTGCCTTGTCCCGTTTCCCAAAACACAAAGGAGAACCCTCACAGTTTACAAATCTTCCCCCAAACAAGCATTAGAATGCAATAAATAAATAAAAACTTCAATTTACTTCTGCAATCCTCACCTTTCAAATTGTACGTACTAAACACTGGGAGTTATAAAAACATCTCAGCCTGATATGGAAACAGCTCTGCTCATCTTAGTTTGACATGTAAGCCCAGTCATCTCCTAAGTGTGAGGTGTATCTGCTATCAATTATACTGCAGGTGATGCCTGGGCGCTCTCACTTATGATTAAGCCCCTGTGTTTGTAACAGCTGATAATTTAACTGTCAGCATTTCTTTTACATGGAGACATATATCTTGTGGTGCACATTTGCAGTTTCCCAACACTTAAGGAGCCTAAACCCAGAGGGCCATTCAAATGGTAGAACACCCCTGGGCTGTATGTTTAGCTTAATGTCTTTTGTTTTAGGGATGGAGGGGGATGGGAAGCCAAGTCTTTTCTGCTCCCATCACAGCCATGTGGTTCTTGCATGCAGTCTGTACCAAGCATGTGCCAAGGTGGGTCCTTCATTACTCAGTTCTTCAGGGTTCTATTAACCTCTCCTTACTGCTAGCAACCCTCTCCCTTCTAAACAAACATCACTGGCCTCACCCTCCCCAGCACACCCACAGCTTGCCAGCAGGAAAGACTATACTGTTCTGCATCATACCACACCACCTCTAGGGCATTTGGCCCTTTTCAGCCGATGGCCAGTTTGTTAGCTTTGTGATTTGGGGCAGGTACTCCACACATCACAGACACCTTCAAAAGGCTGTCTGAAACAAGCCCCCAATTTCCCTTCTGGAGAAGTTAATTTACATCAAAGTGTACAATTAGTTTAAATTACCATCCCCACTGTCCCATGCTGCAGTTCATCTCCCACACAATCTCCTGTGGATTTCATCGGCCTCCTCCTCGTTCAATCACCTGACTTTATTAGATCCTTGTTGAGGATCACCCAAGCCCTCAGATAGATCTTAGGAAACTGGATTTAGAGTTAAATCAGAACATGTTACTTCATGGCCAGTGATTCCATTTTGCAGAGTGTGAATAAACATGAACAGCCTCCCCTGGATCCCAGAGACTCAGCACTAAGCTATTTTTAACTCCAAGGAACTGGTCCGCTTTGCTCCAGCTTTAATTTTATGGCACAACTGTTATGCTCACCTGAATTGCATTGAGATCTATCCCATGAGCCATCACTAAGAAAGTCTAGAATAATCTATCTGCAACATCCCCCCTTCCACTTAATATTTTAAATACAATCCAAATTTGGGGCACTGTGCTATCTAAAAACTGATAGCCAGTGCTAAGTGGTCTTAAGTAAAGGGTGGGAATTGGTGGAATATTTAGCACTCAATGTTTTTGTCTGATGCTCAATATCCTCTTAGCCTTAGACAATCCTGTTACCAGAAGAGTCTATTGTTCATGAGAGCAAGGCAAGAGATAACCCCAAGGGGTTGGTCTCATCACCATAGGACAAAGATAACAAACTATTCAGGCTGCCAACCAATGTACTCTTCTCATGCAAAGTGGATGGCAGCAAGTCCAAGGGCAGTGTGGAGCTTCTGAAATCTTCTCACTTGAACATGCTGTTCTAATCCAGGGGAGCTCTAGAAGGTGAGGATGTGCGTCCGAGGGAAGGGCCAGAGCCTAAGATAAGTTCCTCTACTTTAATTTCACATGTTACATTCTCTTTGATATCCAAGAAAGGTTTGAACAGGTCCCAAGAACAGCATATTCCCTAATGATTCAGAACACTTGAGAACCTGGATGGAATTTGAAGCATTCTTCCAGACCTTGTCTCTTTGCAGGTTAACTCTAATTGCTATTTTTACATTTTTCTTTTGGGAGGAAAGCACAGTTTTAAATATAAAGCCTCTAAAAGCTGATATCTGCCTTAGAATATTTAAAACCCACTGCAAATGTAATAATACTTCCTAATTACTGCAAATGTGAAAGCACACCTCGAACGAAAACTCATTATGCAAAGTAAGTCCTTCAAACAGTCCCTTGCCCAGGGAGGCCGAGTGGGATGAGGAATCATGCCCTGCATCTGATCGTTTTCTCTCCCACTAGAGGAAAGTAGATCACCAAAACACAGGCCAAGGAGCTGGCAGCTCACAAAGCTTTGAGTATTATGAATTTTACTGTAGCTAGTGGAAAACCCTCCACCAGAGGCCAAGATCGTGAGCACTGGGAAGTACTGGATGCAACAAAGGTCATTTGGGAAATGGGCAAGGGGCAGCAGGGAGGGGATTTCTAGCTGTCACATCTACTGCCAGGGTCAGAGTGTGAGGCGTCAGGGCATGAGGGATCACTGTTCTAACATGTACAAGTGGCCCCAGAGAAGCCCACACCCGCTCAGCTGCTTCAGCTGCTTCAGCTGCTTCAGTCTTGGAGAGATTTTGATGAGGTAGAATCAGCAAGGCACAAAAAGCCAGGGATGAAGAACGCCATCAAGAGACTTCACCTGGGAATCTGCTCCTCCTAAAGTCCCACCTAACTAACCACTGGCATCCTTGAGAGACTTAAGGACAGCTATCTATGGGCTCAAACTGTCACTCCACCAATACCAGGGCTGCTCTCTTCTCTAAGGCTCAAGACACAGCTTGTAGAAGCCAGGCTTTTATTTTCTGTCTAAATGAAAACACAGGTGCTGCTGTCCTTTGTAGCATTCTCATCCAGCAGCAGGGTGCCTGGTCCCACACCAACTCGATGCTGAGGTGTGTGACAATACATTCCTGCTAGCAGGACCTCGGAGGCCAGCTGCAAGGGCAGCAGAGACCTGACCTGAGAGCCCTTACCTCTGACCATTTTCCTAGCCCAAGTAAGTTGATACCTATTCAAATTCAGATAGGGTTGGAGGCTACTGAATAGATGGGAGCTTGCTGGGTGAGTCTGTCTGGTTTGGTCTCTTGACAAGAAATGTGGTCATCTAATGATGGAATTCTTTAAAAAAGACTTGCAAGGACCCAGAAACAGTTAATTTTCAGACATAACCTAACTGGAAGAGTAAACATCTAAATATAGTCATTTATTAAATTCAATAACTCTCATTAATGTATTGCCTAGACTGAACAGCATGGATGGCAGAGTTGCTCCCTATCTGCATTTAATGGTCTACCCTGCAGGGCCTAAGAGTGTCAGCTTCTGGACAGGGAGGCACACAGCCTTGCTCTGGAGTCCAGCCAATTCTTAGGAAGAAAGGCAAATTCTATTTTACTGTGCTAGTCCATAAGTGACCTGCCCAACTCTCCTTAGATGTGACTCTCCAAGACTCTACCAGTCTAAACAGAGGCTCAAGCATGAGTTTACGGGCTGACGACTGAAATCACGAAGCATTTCAGGACAGTAAGTACTCTAAAGAGTCAGCCTGACAGTCAGAGAGTAAATCGAGGTTGTATGTCTAAGACAGAGGAAGGGAAGAATGGCTGGTGCTCACAGCCAAGAACCAGAGACTGGCTAGTTCTGTAGCACCATGCTATCATGTCAACTGAGCATATCTTAACATTCATCTCATTTGCTAAATATCCCCAGAAACACAGCACTGGACACTATAAAATGAATAGCTGCTGATAGCTGGTCCATAGGAATTAACTGAATTTTTAACTGTATTAGAGATATTCTGTTCTGATCAGCACCTGTGAAAAGAAAATCTGTACATATACATACATACACACCCATGTGCATACATGCATATGCATGCACACATATCCACATACACACACACAAATATATATAAAGTTGTAAACACATGCATGTGTGTATTTTTATATCACATGGTACATATTATAGCATATCATAACAAATGTGTGCATTCTCACAAGTCATTTTGTGTATGATGAGACACATAAACACAGTCATCTCTCCATACCTTACATGCCACTTGTACAGATTCAACCTGGTATCAGAAGCCTTTGAAAAACACCTGGATTTCCTTATGATTCACCAAACCATGTGGTCTAATGATTGCATAGCATTTACACTATATTAATTATCATGTGTAATCCAGGGGTGATGTAAACTACATGGAGGACACGAGCAGGTTCTATGCAAACACTGTGCAACTGATTTCAGAGATGTGAACATTTGGGTTCTTGGGGTCCTGAAGCAGGTCCTGCACAAGTGACTACATGTGACAAGATCATCGCATTCTACTGCAGTCTGCTAAAGGAAGCTTGGAGTCTGCCTAACACGAAATGAGGCCAAACCTCTGCGGACTCTGGGTGATCAAGTCCCCTCACCGTGGACAGGCTTATCCTATAGCACAATCGAACATGATCTCTCTTCCCTTGTACCACAGCCCCCAAACGGCTGACACAATTTAGCCCCAATATTCTCCAGGGGGTTCCCTTTCAGGAGGCTCCTACTTCAGCTACAGAGACTGTTAAAGCCAACTCCAGGGAAAAGCTGGGGGCAGAGCCAAGCAAAGGCACCCAAATGCTGTGGCTCTGAATATGAAGATGAGGGGTAATTTATTATATACAACAGCTTCAGAAGCCACAGATCAAAGACACTGAGTGCACATGAAACAGATAATTTCTCCCTCATACATATTTTAGCTAAACTGTTTGAACCGTGCAGATCCATCTGAAGATTACCTGAGACAATACAAATTGCCAGCCTGGAAAATAAATGAGAGCCTCATTTATCCTGACCAGGGGTGAACAAGAAAGCCGTGAGCAGAGGAAGCAAGCTACAGAGAGGTCACAACAGTCACTGTGAGGTCATCTGTGGGGCCACTGTCAATCAACAGAGAGAAGTGTGTCTCTCTGTTGTAGGGAAGCAGTGTTTCTGTATCAGTAGCATCCCAGATGGAGGCTAACTCCGCCAAGCACAAACCCGTGAAAAGACCCATTGAAGACAGGAGTCAAACTTTCTGAAGGTGACTCAACAC